AAACTTCTCCCTGATGCAAAACCCTGCTGTTTTAGATTGTAGTCTGTCCAAGTGCAGTGGGCGATCTTTTATCTGTTATTTTGTCTGTCTAATGGGTTTCATTGTTAAAACAACAGTAGCTATTACATGAATGTAACCTGTTTGTGTACAGTTTTTTGGACATGATCAATGGTTTGTAGACGAGAAAGAAAAATAGAAACCGCATTAAGGGAGGCATCTTACCACCTGATTATAGATACGATAACAAAAAGCATATTCGTTTCACTCGTTTGATTTTAAAAGCACCGAAAGAGGCGGGATTTGCACACCCTCTCAGGAAAATTTATTTCCCCCCCTCCCTCCCTTCCTTTTAAATTAAACCACATAGTGCATTGTTTTTTGTACCCATTTGTCTTTTATAGTCTAAATTCAGTACAGTACTTTAAAGAACTACACTCAGTATGTTTTTATTTTTGGAGCATGTATTACTTTATGTGTTAAAGGTTAAAAAGAAAACAGAGAATGTTCAATTTTTGAGCAAAAAGAAAAAACTAAACAAATGTGTCTTGTGCAAAGCTGGCGTAATGCTTGCCTGTTTGTGTGTGACTTGATTGTACCGTGTTTTTCGAGGATGCCGGGATAGTTGCAGCTCTCCATCGCCTACATAGATTCCTTCCTGGTAAAGTGGTAGGCTAGCAATATACATACTATATATACTATGAGATATTCATATTTTTTGTTAAACAGAATCCAAAAAGAAATGTTTGTGACTGTATGCATTTGTATGAATTATTTTAAATGAAATAAAAGTCAAGAGTTAAATGACACAGCAGCATTTCTGTGAGTTTCTCTCGCACTGATGTCATGCCAGGACAACAGAAATAGTGCAGGTTCAGTTCAGGTTTCCGTTGTATTTGAACCCATTTCAGGATATAAACACAATCACTGTGAGCACCCTCTTGTGGACGTTAGTTCTGTAATATGCAGATCAAAAGGTACCAATCTGGCATCGTACTGAAAATAGTTCATACAGGGGAATGGGGTTTTACCTCCAAGCTGTGATCTAGCTCGCTCTGATGAATTTGTATTAAAGGATTCTTTTACCCAAATGTTCTGTCATTTCCTCACCCTCATGTTGCTCAATGGGAGAAGTTTTGAAGAACATTCATCTGGGGTTCTCCAAAAAGGTTTTATTAAAATTAATATATATATATATATATATATATATATTAATTTTAATAAAACCTTTTTGGAGAACCCCAGATGAATGTTCTTCAAAACTTCTCCCATTGAGCAACATGAGGGTGAGGAAATGACAGAAAATTAATATATATATATATATATATATATATATATTCTGACTAAATTAACCTGGCAAGATTAGGCTACACCAGCAAATTTTAATAATTTTTTGCAGGTAGATCCATTAGAAAACATTGTAGCAATTCTAGGTTACCAATTTTTAGTGTAGTGTGAGGAGCAATAAAATTAATAACATATATTTAGAAAATATATCAAATTTTCATGGCAACTTCAAATTTTGGATGACATTTTGATTTGAATGATTGACCTATATTGACCTTGTAATTCTTAAAATAGCTCTTACAGTGAAATGCAGACTTCTCTCTCTTGATTGACGCCAAACTTCTCCAGTCACTTCATCTGCATAAACTCCGCCCCTTTTTTTACAACCGCCTACAAGCTCGCTTTCAGATCTGCCTCCATTCAAGTGCACAGAACCAAGTCCCGCCCTGTAATTTGATCGGTTGTTCAATAATCAATTTCACTCAAATGTACATCTGTTGCTACTTCCATTTCATCGCAAATTTAAGGCTACGTTTACACGACGACGTAGTCAAAAACGGAAAAGTTTTTCCCTTGCGTTTTTAAAAAGTTTCACGTATACACGACAAAGTTTTCAAAACAATTCGCGTTTACACATATCCGTGAAAACGGCCTAAAACGCTGTGTTTGTTCGTGCTTGCCTTTAAAATCGAAATGTACTGCGCATTTCTACATACCTAACACGTACTACGCACGCGTATGACGTCAGCGTTTTCAAAGATTCCCGTTTTGGGTGTTTACACGGAAATGATAACGGTACCGTTTTCAAAAAACTTGCACTTTGAAACTCGTTTTCAAAAATATGCGTTTTCAGTCCCCAAAACACCGTTGTCGTGTAAACGAACAGGCAAAACGCATAAAAAGTTCCCCGTTTTTGGCTGAAAACGTTGTCGTGTAAACGGCCCCTGAGTTGACAAAAAATGTTCTCCTTCCACTATAGCATTAAAATCTCATTAACACTTGTGCATATTAGGTTTGACGTCATCAACGGCAAACTACATTACTCCTTGCCTGTCTTATAACTGTTATATACTGAAGAGCTACTGTACGTTTTCATTGTGTGGAAAAGAGCAGCATGAACATTCCGCTAAATTTCTCTTTTTTTGTTCCACAATAAGGAAGAAAATCAAATAGATTTGGAACGACACGAGGGTGGGAAATTCTTTTTCATTTTTGGCAGAGCTATTTTTTGAACACAGTGGATAAAATCATTAAACCCGTGCACAAGCTAGCAAGCGCCTCTAATTGCGTGGTCAGAAGCGTTGAATTGGGAATGTTCTTTACACATTGAGGTGGGGGGAGGTGATGACTCAGCATTGAAACTGATCCCTGCACATGCTGTTTTCCTTCCAGCAATGTCTCTCAGCAGACCTCCATAATTCCCGCATCCTGTCCTCTGCTTGTTTTGGATTTCCTTTTGGTGCATTTTGCCACTGAACATAAGAAGAGGCCTTAGAGAGTCCCTGAGCAGTTTGTCAAACCAAAGAAAACTGAAGAAAACTGGAGCCTGAGAAGAACGAACGGACGTTACTTATAAGCAAGCACTGCAGAGCATTATAAACAATGTTGGGGAGTAACTAGTTACATGTAACGGCGTTACGTAATTTAATTACAAAATAAATGTAACTGTAATCAGTTACAGTTTCTAAGAAAAAATGTGTAATTAAATTACAGTTACTTATGAAAATGTTAACGATTACAAAGGGGATTACATTTGAATATTTACACACATCCACATACAGATTTAATTGATTTCTTTCCCAAATTACACTGACTACTCTGAGACATACGGCCCTATAATGTCCGCGATGCGGAAAATGTGTTCAAATTTGATCATCTTAATTCAAGTGATGAAGGATTTTGAAAGTCTGACAGTGTTGAGCACTACTGTAAGGTTAACCCGGCATGGTGTAAATGTTTGAAAATGATTAACAGTTGCAAATAAACATTCATTAGAAAAGTAATCAAAAAGTAATCAAAAGTAATCAGTTACATTACTTTAATAAAGTAATTGAAAAAGTTACACTACTATTACATTTTAAGTAGGGTAACTTGTAATCTGTAACCTATTACATTTCCAAAGTAACCTTCCCAACACTGATTATAAAGCATCGTAAAGGCTCTGATTCGTTTACAATCATCATTGTTAAATAAGCCCTGTTCATGAGCAAACAGCTTTGTAAACATGCATGTGCGATCTGAACGTGTCAGGGTAGCTGAACATTATCTAACCCAAGTATTCATACTGCATGCCATGCGATAGCACTGAATCTGAGCGATACATTCTCATTCAGGACCACAGTTATAGTTTGTATTCAATTTTTGGGGTTATATGTGTTCATAATAGTTCTTGAGATTGTTCTGATGCTGGCGACACAAACCAGATTGGAAATGTGATCATAAAGGGCAAGCAATGAACTGAATTTAGCATGTATAGCATCATAGGAGTATGGAAGTCTGTTTCTGCCACTGAATAAAGAATAAAAAAGGTAATTGCGACTTTTTGTCTCGCAATTCTGACTTTTTTTCTCATAATTGCGTGATACAAACTTGCAATTCTGCATTTTATTCTCAGAATTGCGTGATATAAACTTGCAATTGCGAGTTCAAAAGTCATAATTGTGAGATATAAACTCACAATTCTGAGAAATAAAGTCAGAATTGCGTGATATCAACTCGCAATTGCGAGACATAAAGTCGCAATTTTGATAAATAAAGTCAGAACTGCGAGATATAAACTCACAATTCTGAATTTTTTTCTCAGAATTGTGAGTTTATATCTTGCAATTCTGAGAACATATCAGTCCCCCCCCCCCTCAAAATTGGACTTTAACTCGCAATTGCGAGTTTATATCACGCAATTCTGACTTTATAACTCGCAAATGTGTTATAACGTCAGAATTGCGAGATATAAACTCACAACCCTGTTGAAAAAACCAGCATATGCTGGTTAGGTGTTTTGAAGCTGGGATGCTGGTTTGAGCTGGTCCTTTGATGGTTTATGCTGGTCATGTGCTGGTCTTAAGCTGGTCGGACCAGTTTAGGACCAGCACATGACCAGCTAAGGACCAGCATAAACCAGCAAAGGACCAGCTTAAACCAGCTCAAACCAGCATCCCAGCTTCAAAACATACCTAACCAGCATATGCTGGTTTTTTCAACAGGGAATTCTGAGAAAAAAGTCAGAATTGCAAGACAAAAAGTTAGAATTGCGAGTTTTTATCTCGCAATTGTGGCTTTATATCTAGCAATTCTGACTTTATATCTCGCAATTGTGTTTTATATCACGCAATTCTGAGAAAAAAAGGCAGAATTGTGAGTTTATATCTAGCAATTCTGACTTTATAACTTACAGTTGTGAATTTATATTATAAAAAGTCAGAATTGTTAGCTAAAAAGTTGCAATTAACTTGTTTTTATTTTTTATTCAGTGGTGAAAACAAGCATACATACAAATAAAATTAGTCACATATTTAACAACATAATCAAATGCTCACTTAATATTGCTTTTGAATAATTATTAATTAAACTTTTAACACAGTATTTAACACATATTGAGACAAACCAACAAAGTGCCAATAACACAGTCTGATGGAAATGGCTTGGTGGCAATTGCGAGTTTATATCTCACAATTCTGTGAAAAAAAGTCAGAATTGTGAGATAAAAAGTCGCAATAATCTTTAAAAAAAAAATTTATTCAGTGAAGGACGTTGGGTTTGGTTGTGTCTTCTACATAGCACTTTGTATTTCCGGCGTGTTGTGATGTCCGTTGGGCGTCAGTCTGTCCTGAAAAATGTAGAGGTTGTTGCTGGCTGCGATGGCGATGATGTTTTCTTTGGGGTGCCAGGCAGTATGGAGGATTTTCTTCCTGAAGTCCAGACTGTCCACGCTGACGTCCGTCTCTTTCCGTTTCTTGCCCACGCACACACGCCGCGGCTGCAGGACCGCCCGCCGCTTACACACCTCCCGACTGGCCTCCAGAGTCACGTCACGCAGACTTGCCCGGTCAAACATTCGGAAGTAGTTGTTGTAAGCGCCTGTCATGATCACGCTGCAGAGGAAGAAGACATGGATTGAGAGGGAACAGATGCAGAGCAGCTGGATGCGCTCGGGTTGTATTTCAAAGGTCAAAGGTGATGTTTATTCATGTTATTGGCCTCACCTGTCCGTTCCGTTCCAGGCACATTCAAACTTGTCAAAAATACAATCGCTTTCATACAAAGAGCACAATTTGGTTCGCAAGTAGTCGTGGACCTAAAACACAAGCGAACATGAGACAGAAAGAGCAAGAGAATTCTGTACAAAAACATTACACTCTAAAAAAATGCTGGGAATAGCTGGGTGTGTCCCTTTTTAACCCAGCATTTTTTAGAGTGTAGAGTTAAGGTTAGTCGTGTTTAGTACATGATACATGCATGCAAGCTTCTTTATATATAACCATATAACAGGAATGTTGCTTGTAGCTGTAAAACATATACTGTGTAATATACTGAAATATACTGAAATATACTGTGGCTGCCCTCACTATTGCCTGAATTTTTTTTTTTTTGATTTATTTATATTGCACAGTCCTCCAGGGAGCCCAGAAAAATGTAATAATATATATAAAACAGCAATTACCAGGTTTCAAACGCTTTAAGACCTGGGTAATTATAGTTATTTTAAGATGATTTTACTCTAAAATACAGAAAAATCTGAAATATAATCACTAGTAAAAATAAAAATAAAATAGGACAATAATAATGTAAATGTAGAAAATTTACTAAAATCTATGGTAAATCTACTTAATTTTACATTATATAATGAGCATATGGATGTATTTTAGTATAATTTATATACTATTATAGTATTTATTATTTTAACAAGCTGTTATTTTTATATTTTCATTTTATTTTAAGTTTTTAGCAAGTTTTGTCATTTTTATTTTAGTAATTTTATTGTTATAATTATTTCTATTTAGCTTTAATTTATTTTTATTTTAGTTTTAGTCATTTTAGTACTTAAACTTATTTTATTTCTGTTAGTTTTTTATGTAATATTTAGATTTACTTTTATTTTAAATTCATTTCAATTAACAACAATTATTTTGATATATATATATATATATATATATATAAAATATTTTAGATTTTAGTTTTAGCTTTATTTAACAATAGCAACATTGGTATAGCTGAATCATTTTTAATATTTACTTTTAATAAAAGCAGTATTGCCATGGTACTTTTTCTTTTCTTTTCTTTTTTAGTGAGGCCAAACCAGCTTCCTATGCACTGAGAGGCCTGGAACTTTGTGAGGCCTCGGCTTGTGTAAATGTGTGAGTGAATGAGTGAGTAGGTGAGAGACCTGGTATGTTTCCATTGGTTTATTTTCCATGTTGAGGTCCCAGACTTTAACGGTGAGGTAATCTCTAGTGAGCAGGTAGCGGCCGCTATGACTGAACTTCACGTCTGACACTGAGGAAACGATCTCGGAGAAGAACGATTGGCGGGATGGATCCACTGCCTCTTCAAACACTAATAGAGATTGCACATACACACATGGTATTACAATATAAAAACCCTTAGTTTAATATAAAGTGCTAGGACATCAATACTATAACAAGTAAACCACCTCACATTAAATACTGACAATGGTAAATTGGGTTCCAAATCTGAAAGTTTTAGTGATTTAAGATACATTTTATTTAACCTAAAAACCCAGACTTTTGAAAAGACTTGTATTGTGGGTGTTTTAGTGGATAGGTTCCTGAATCAACATCCTTGTACGTCTTGGAACAACACTCTGATTTCAGGTGTAGTTAATGATTATGGTTGACAGGAATGTTGTTTCAAGACCAACAAAGTATGTTCATCCAGGAAAACGTCCTGCTTGGCGGTATCATCTTGTATTGCATGCGTATGCGTGGCTCACGTTTGGCATGTTGGTCACAGAGTGCGCGAGCTCTCATGTCACAGAGGCGAGTGGTTCCTGTGCTGCTGCTGAAGGCCAGCAGGTGGCAGTGGTGAGGGTGAAACTCGGCCACTGTGATCACCTCACTGAGGTCCTCCATGTTTTCTGGCTTCAAATCCACAATATCTGAGAGAAATTCACTGAGGAAACCCAACACATAGATTTTTTTTCCAGCTGATGAATGATAAAAACATTGACAGACAATCAGAATCTATTCGACTTTTACGGGCCTTTACTGTTAAGCATGGAATCCTGTGTCTGCCACTGAAAAAAAAAAACAATAGTATTGCAAGGAATGTTGCTTGTAGCTGTAAAACATATACTGTGTAATATACTGAAATATACTGAAATATACTGTGGCTGCCCTCACTATTGCCTGAATTTTTTTTTTTTTTGATTTATTTATATTGCACAGTCCTCCAGGGAGCCCAGAAAAATGTAATAATATATATAAAACAGCAATTACCAGGTTTCAAACGCTTTAAGACCTGGGTAATTATAGTTATTTTAAGATGATTTTACTCTAAAATACAGAAAAATCTGAAATATAATCACTAGTAAAAATAAAAATAAAATAGGACAATAATAATGTAAATGTAGAAAATTTACTAAAATCTATGGTAAATCTACTTAATTTTACATTATATAATGAGCATATGGATGTATTTTAGTATAATTTATATACTATTATAGTATTTATTATTTTAACAAGCTGTTATTTTTATATTTTCATTTTATTTTAAGTTTTTAGCAAGTTTTGTCATTTTTATTTTAGTAATTTTATTGTTATAATTATTTCTATTTAGCTTTAATTTTTTTATCTCACAATTCTGACTTTATAACTCGCAATTGCGAGTTTATATCACGCAATTCTGACTTTATCTTGCAATTGTGTTTTTATATCTTGCAGTTCTGAAAAAAAAAAATCAGAATTGCGTGAAATAATCTCGCAATTACGAGAAAAAAATCAAAACTGTGAGATAAAAAGTTGTTTTATTTTTTATTGAGTGGTAGAAATGGGCTTCCATAATCAAGGCCCGTTCACACCAAGAATGATAACTATAACGATAACAATCACTATAAAGTTTTAATAACCATTCTAATTCTATGAGAATAGAGATCCACACTACTGTATTATGATTACGACACAAAGCAACAATATCGTTAGAACCAGTATCAGAATGATTTTTCCAGCTGATGAAAAAGCTAATCAGAATGTAGCCATGTAATATAGCCATAGATATCTATACATAGATTCTACATTCAACCACTCCAGACACATTATGCATCGGCCATCTTGTAACGGTCAACATGTCGTCACTCACAGTAAAAATGAATGAGTTTTCCGCAAGGCCTCAACATTGTGCAGCCTCTGGTTGTAAAAACCACCTGGATTTAAATTCAGAAGAAATGGGATAACCTTTCACAGGTGAGAATGTGTTGGTTTGTGTTTTTATATGTATTAACTCAATATTACACATTTTTAAACTGTGGTAACTTTTTAATGTCGTCTTAGCTAACAGCTTTGTCATGTATTGTGTTAGTGTAGCAAAATCATCCACTGAAGTCTACTGCACATACAGAAAATCATACATGCATTTGCACACGCAGTCAACCTGCTCTTAATTGTTTACGGCTTTGACTGGTTCAGTATGGTAGACGGCTTACACATAGCGGCCCATAGAAACAGATGCTAATGAGGAATCTATAAACATCTATGGTTATAGCTATCATTATAGTTATCACTCTCTGTGTAAACTGGCCTTCGTTATTAACAAAAAAGTATCTTAGCAAAATGTTTTCTTCTGTATTCCTTCTGAAAAGATGTTGTCTGGTGCCCAACATGTTAAAAGCCACTAAAAGCACTTAGCAACTGTATAGCAATGCCCTGGTAACCACCCAAAACACTCTAGCATTACATTTTCAAAATCTAGTTTTGCTTAAAGGTGCAGTAAGCGATTTCTGAGAAACGCTGTTGAAAGTGGATCGGACTGAGCACCAAAACACACTCGTAGCCAATCACCAGTAAGGGGCGTGTCCAGTAGTGATGTGGGAGGTGCGTAATGTTCATAAATTCGTAAAGAGCAAGATAGGGGTTTGATTCTTTTGGGTAGGGGCATGTTTGTTTTGGTGATTTCAAATATCAATTCTCAGAAATCGCTTACTGCACCTTTAAATGACATAATTACAAAACCCCATATGTCTCTGTGTAGTTCTATCTTACAGTAAGACGCACGAGGATACTGAAGCTGCGGTCAGTGATGTTGAGATGCCACAGGTTAATTCTCAGATCGTCGGCAGACAGGTATGTTTCACAGTCACTGTTGACACTGATGGAGTTGATGTGATATGCATGTGCATTAGCAAAAACACGCCGTGGGGACGCCTCCACCAGGAGATCCATCGGCCGCAGGACAGGGACCTAGACAGTCCAGAAACTCGCATCAGGCAACAAGAAGAAACAAAAGAAAACAGAAGGAGAAATGCTGCACACCTGTAGAGTGGTGATTGTAGAGAGGTCCTTCAGTCTGCCCTCCTCGTCTCTCAGATTGTAGCCTTCTGCTCGCTTGTCTTTCTCACTCACCTTCCATAGCTTCACGGTCTTATCTGACAAGAAACACAAAAAGCATGATATTCTTAAAGAAACAGCACTGTGTTTTGGCATTGTGCTATATAAAGTTATATTAGCAAGCGTTTTCAGCTCTTACCATTGGTGGAGAGGAGGAAGTGGGCGGGGTTATGCGGAGGCAGCCAGCGAATCTTATTGATTTTCTCTTCAATCTCAAAACTTTTCAGGTAATCGAACTCAGGCTCATGACTCTGAAATGTACTATAAACATTATATTCGCCCTAAAAGAGAGAGGTAACAAGATAACAGAAAGTAGTGACATTTTTTTTTTCATCAATGAATGAACTGTCCACAATTAATTCCCATCTGCACCAACAGAAAAAAAAAATCGAAATAGCATTTCTATGTCTCTACAAAAAGAGGAAAAAAAAATACTGAGAGATCGATTTAATTAGTCAGAAGAAAGAACGGTTTCAAATTTGCTGTCACTCCCTCAGCTGTCAGTATTAGAAATTCTCACACAGCGGCTTTAACTAGTTTTATGTAATTTAATTTTAAAGGTAATATAACACAAAGTATAGTTTTATAAATGCACTTTAATATTTTTAAGAATGGAAATGTAAAAAACTTTGCTAGATTCACAATGTTAATAACTGTGAAAAAGCATTATTACAGTCTGTGAAAAGGGTCCATGATTTGTTTTTATCTTAATTTTGCTGCTTACTTCCTATATTAAGATATTTGAGTAAATATTGTAATAATAGGTTGAACTACGTAAATATTATAATGTTAAAACATTATTTATTATAATAAATATAATGTACTGTATATTGTAAAATAAAAACAATATAAAATTACATATACATAAAATAATTTAATTATAATAAAAGGCCCCATGCATGAAATTTAAATAAAACATTATGGTTTTGCGCGCTTTTAGGTCATCTGAATGCAAAACATAAGCGTAAACAAGATATGCACATCATGAGGGGAATGAATTTCGGTGTAAATCATTCATAAAACCATTCTTACATAAACTGTCAAATGTGACGATATACGTAAGAATGATTTTACAAGTCATTTAACCAGACATTCATTCGGCTCTTGTATCATTCATCTTCTGGGGGGAAAAAATAATATTTTGCACTGAGGGTGTTTAGAAAGTTTTGTCTAATAAAATATTCTCAAGAATGAGAATGTCTCCTCCCACTGTATTATAAACATCACCTGCCTCCAAATCACAACAGCAAGAATATAATGGTGCTACTGTGATGTAAACTGAAAGCTACTGACTGAAAGAGAAAGAAAGAAAACCAAAAATGCTTCAGTTCGACCCATTTAGCTTCCTGTTTCAATAGGAAGTTTGTGAAAAAGGGAAGCATAAAAAATGTGTTTGTCAGAGATTTGTCTGACCTGTGGTTCTCTCTGAAAGATGACAACCCTCCCACCCTTATCTCCCGTGGCCAAGAACTCTCCAGTCTGGTTGAACTCCACCGTAGAGATGACATCCGCTGGATCACAGACAAGATTGAAAAATAAATTGATTTCACTTTTTGTTTTGGTAAAAACTTGCATAGGCCTCTAGTTATTGTTTAAGATCAGATGTGCCTCTCAGTCAAACACTGCTTTGCCAAAGTAAACCAATGCAATATTTGTATTTGAATATGGATCCAAAAACAGCATTAATGCCAAGGTGCGCACGGTCACTTTGTTTGTGGACACAAATACAAAGGACAAAGAGTGTCACTATTAGTTCCATCACTAGTCAAAAGTTTGGACATTTCATATTTTTATTATGACTAATTTTCACATTTTAAAATTATGGGAAAGACATCAAAACTATGAATTAGCACAAATGAAAATATGGAAATTAGGTATTTATCAAATTGTTAAATCAGAATGATCATTTGACTTTCTTTTTCTAGATCTTTTTCTTATATCTGTAAACCAGGGTTATTATATTTAACTGAAACTAATACCAAAAAAAAAAAAAAAATTGTTACTTGAAATAAAATAAACATTAACAGAAATAAAAAAATATATAATTATTTAATTTCAGCTAGTTGCTAAGGAAGCATTTCTCATTTTCATTCAGTTTAACTTTATGTACTACAATTACTCATAAAAAACTGAAATAAAAATAAATGAAAATATACCAAAAATGACAAAAACACAACAAAATCACTAAAATTTTAAATAAGATTAAATGAAAATTAAAATATAAAAAATATTTAAAACTATTAAAAACTATAATAGTATCTGTATCTGATATTAAAATAACTGCTGCACACTTGCTATGTCACAAAACGTCATGAGGTGCATCATGGGATGGTTGTAAACAGTATTGAAGTAGTTCCCACTTTGTTGACTGCTTCATATAAAGAAGTTTATCATTGTCTACAAAACTAATTTCAAGCATTTCAGCAAAGCCTTACAAGAAACAAATTCAGTCAAGTGTGTACAAACTTTTGACTGACAGTGTAGCTACTGTGAGTGTTTGTAGCGTATGATTGTGTGTGTGTGTGTGTGTGTGTGTGTGTTACCCTCTGTGTACTCTGGCTCCAAGGCTGCGAGATCTGAACAGAGAACCGGGCTCAGCATTCTGGGATGGAACCAAGGGCGGGGCTGCAGCTCTACCAATCCTGCAAAGAGGCGGAGTCTCATGATGAGCGTTAAAATGTGAGTGGAAGGGTTACAACATGCTACCGGTGTTTTGATGTCTGCCAGAGAGACTCTCTCCTCTGTTGGAACAATTCCAGACGCTGATATTCAAACATGCAGGTCACATGAGTGCCAGCAGAGATGAACACAATCATGCAGATCTACAGAATGGTTTTGATGTGTTAATGCGGGCCTAGATTTGAGATTAGTGGATCTAATCTTGTTCTACATCAATATAAACATCAGATTATCAGGGGGGGCCTGATAATCTGCCACACATATACACAAACATCTCCATCTGGTCCATAAGCATTAAATGGCCATTAAAGAGGACCACAAAGCACATTTATGCATGTAAACATTTAGACAGCATGAACAAAAAGGAAAATTCAAATGAAAAACAAGACGTACTTACAAAAACACTCTTTTACCTTCTGTCACATCGCTGTGCTAACAGTTGTGTTCAGATGCTGATATATTCATTCAGTTCCATTGCTGTGTTGGTTTGTACAAAAGGTGTCTGTGAAGGTTTGTGTTTGTTTGATGGATGAGCAACACACCATCCATTTTTCATCCATCAGCATGAAGGTCTGCTGCAAAGCGTCATGGGGTTTATGAGCGGTAAGTCCACATGAAGAGGCTGATGACACTCTACAGAATATAAACTCCACAAAAAAAACACTCAGGAAAAAAACAGAATGTCTCGCCTCAGTTTGGATGCATCTACACCCGGAGGACTCTACCGGTCAATTCATTCCTGTTGGGTTTTCCTGATATCAGAGGTAAACACATGACCGCTGGACTTGTGCGTAGGCATACTGATGTTTGTCCAAAAGGATGAGGGAGGGGTAAAATTCTGTCTGTTCTGCTGCATAGACTCCTCCTCCAAAGCATATCACAGAGAGGGAGACACGGAGATGCTGAGTGACGTGCTCTCATCCAATCGTGTCACTGGTCAGGGAGTTGTGGCCAATGGGAGAGCAGCTCATCATCACATTGAGCAGCAACCCCCCACTCCAGCCTCATACTGATACAGCTACAAGAGTGGTTGCCTGGTAACCGCATCTGTCTGTGAGAGCAGAGCATGAGTCTGGGAGGAAACATGAGGCATTGCAATGGTTACATAAATATGTGAGAAACCTCAAGAATATTCTGTAGATAGACAAAATGCACTGAAATTACAGCTTTTAGAGTTCTTTTTGTTTACCTTTTGTCTCTAACAGATTTTACCAAAATTGACTTTAATGGAAGAAATAAAAGATTTCTTGATAGTAATATTGTCGCGTTTAATGTCCAATGGAGATGAAAATTGGTGAAGTTATACATAAGTAGCATAGTTTATTAAACAAAGCAAACTCAGGTAATCCAATAAGCTGAAACCCAAGTGAAAAAGCATGCTACGCACAACAAATACCGGGCACAGAACTGAAGAAACTGAGGGAATAAATACACAGTGGTAAAGAGAGACAGGTGAGACTCAAATTAGTTGAACATTGAATAACTATGGCAACCAAGGAAACAGGAACTAAACACACTGGAACTGAACACAGGCAAAACAGGACAAAAGAATATCAGAATAAAGGTCCATGGACACAAACACAGAGAATTTGTGACAGAACAGTTCAGGAGGTTGGTGGTGCAGAGGCAGACCAGGGGAAGGATAGAGGGCCAGATCATTCTCCTCTCACAGATCGTCGTCGTCTACCTTCACCAGATTTTATAACTTGGACATCCCTGCCGGCACTGATTTTGTCTGTTTAATCTGCCTTAACCCCCTTTGTAAGTGGGAAAGGTTGTTTTATGACGTTCTCAGCCTAGCGGCTTGGGTCTCATTTTTAGCTCATGCTTACAGGAGCCCTCAGTATAGGTACAGAGCGGCTTCGTTCTGCACTTGCTTATAGCACGGTGTGACTGGATGCGTTCCCCATAAGGTGTTAACGCAATGGGAGAGACCGTTCAAAAGGGAGCGCTCCGGTTACTTAAGTAATCTCGGTTCCCGGAGATAAGGGAACAAGCGTTGCGTAGGCTGCCATGCTATAAGGCTGCACGCGAGCTGACAACTGTCATTTCAGTTGAACAATTTCTCCTGAAACAACAGGAGTTTCCCCATAGTGTGTTAATGCTCGTTCCCTTATCTCAGGGAACTGAGGTTACTTATGTAATCACAGTGCTTTTAACCCAATAAATGTAACGTCTCGGTTACTTGTGTAACCCTGGCGGGGTGCGCGTGGCGAAACACGCACGCCAACTGTCATTGGCTTGTTTAGTTAACACTCGGGCGAGATCCCAATTCGTCAGTCACGACTGACGTAACGTCGAACGTGACTGACTGAAAGGGAACTATATTTAAAAACAATAATAATAGTAAAAATAATAATAAACTTAATGTCAAATCTGAATCCACTTGTGATCTGATAACCAATCACAACACAACCTTGATGTCAGTGAATTGCTGTCAGAGTTGTGCAACAGCCAATCACTATTTGCGGATACCATTGAAATGATTGAGAAGTACCGTAAACTAAATCCTGCCTGTCATTGTCATGATTGCTGCTACGGCGAGGAGCAAGGAACGAGGAGACGTAGGAATAAACTCACATTTCCGTCTTTAATGATCAAACAGAGGAATCCACGTAGCAAAAACAGGGAACCAGAGGACATTAGACACCGGACAAAGCAAACAGAACAGAACAGAACAGAGCTTATGTAATCAACTTAATGAGGGCATGACGAGACACACCTGGACTCAATGAAACACAATTAACATGAGGGAGAAACTAGGTTACGGAGAGCACATGGGGAGCAAAAACACACACAGACATATCGGGGGTATGGGTGGGAACTTGGGAGGAGTACGGGCACCCGGGAAGGAAGGAGGAGCCAGGGAGGAGACAGGAGGGGCTTGGAGCAGGAGGAGCCAAGCAGGACCCAGGCCACAACCATGACGGCCACCCACGGTGGAGCCGACGGAGGGAGGAGCCATGGAGGAGGAAGGGCCGACGATTCCAGGGGGCCAACCAACAGCGGCGGAGCAGGTGGTGGCGGATGAGCCCGAGGCGGAGACGGAGAGCCGATGAGCCAGGGCGACGGGGAGGATCCGGAGGTCCAAGGCGGAGGCGGGGATCCAGATGGCCGCGGTAGAGCCGGAGCGACAGAGGACTGAGGAGGAGCCGAAGGGATGGAGGAGCCTGACGGAACCGGAGGGATGGAGGGACGAGGCACAGCCTGAGGAGTGGAGTCCCGAGGCGCAGGATGGTCGACAACAGACCAAGGCGGAGCCGGAGGGACGAGGGAGCCCGGCGGAGCCAGTGGACAGATGGGCCACGGCGGAGAGGAGGACGGCACGAAGAAACAGTCTGGTATGGTCCTCGAGCGAACGCTCCACCTGCTCCAGTAGGAGGAGGAGGTATTTAGGGCGGGCGATGGCATCCATAAGGGAGAGCACAACGGAAACAAAAACACTGTTGGACAAACAGAAACAAATCGGGGGAAAACACGCTGATTAAACTGTTCTTGGTCCGGTGTTCTGTCACCATTGCTGCTATGGCGAGGAACGAGGAGACGTAGCGATAAACTCAAATTTCCGTCTTTAATGATCAAACAGAAGAATCCACGTAGCACAAACAGGTAACCAGAAGACATTAGACACCGGACAAAGCAAACAGAACAGAACAGAGCTTATGTAATCAACTTAATGAGGGGATGACGAGACAGACCTGGACTGAATGAAACACAATTAACATGAGGAAGAAACTAGGTTACGTAAAATTGTCTCTGATTTCTTTTTATAATACAGCACTGTTTCGTTGTGAACTATAAAAATACATCAATCCAAAATGAATACATGATTGCAAATATGTTGAAGAATAGCCTCTCCTCCATTGACAAAAAAAGGCGTCTGTTACCGTATGCCGTATGGAGCATATTGGATCATTTCACTTTTGGCTTTGTGTGGGTTGTGCATACAGTAGGGATGGGAACAGTGGCGCCTGCAGGTGTACGGCTGTACGCACTGTGCGTACCATGAGTGCTCAGACTGACCTGAGATTTGCCCCACAAACGTTTCAGCAGTTATTATAGGCCTGTGTGTCCCGTATTTCTGTCGACTGAACCAGCCATGCCATTAATTATGAATTTATCAGTCTTTTGCATGCCAAAGTAAATTTTTGCATAGAAATAGGCCTATTACGCCAAATAGAAGCAGAAAATCGTGCTATACGCACTTTCATGAGATCGGGTTAGCCTACAACAATTAATTTGTTGGCTATTTTACAAATGGGAATACAACGAATTCATGACCATGTTTTACATTCAAGCTACCTGTAAAATGTATAGTGAAAAAAGCGTCTGGAATGTAATAAAGTAATTTTAAAGCTGTTTTAAAGCATTTGCTGCATGGATAAAAAAATAGGCTAATAAATAATTCACATATCATACAAAAATTGCATTGCAGCAAATCCTTTAAATTTTTAAGGTATTTAGAACAGAGCAACATAAAAATCTGAAAATATAAGCAGCTATAGGCTACAATTATAGGACAAAGTTTTACATAAAAGCACAACGTTTTGTTGATATTGTGAGTGCACACAAATAAAACTAGACCCTTTACAGTTTAGAATGATGTATTACTCTTACATTTATGAGCAAAATCGACTGCGTATTTAAGTTGTTTCCACTGTTAGAAAAAATGCAAGTGATGGCGCTGGCGCCTCCATGTCCTGCAGAGCGCACTTCAGGTTCCACTCTCCGCTCAAATGGTTGGAAATGCGTCTAACAGCGCACATTTATAGCCTATAGGTTAAACATTTAAACTAACATTGTGATATGCTTGAAATGTTTTATATATAGATTACCCAGCCTTACCCATAATTTATTCCTAAAATCAGAGGGAAATGATAGCTGATTAACAAGGGTGTAGAAGCACCTAATCCTGATTGTAAGCCTAAAACTGACATTTCCTGAAAAGTTATCCCTCAATTCTGATTGGTTGATTGGAATGATGACCCTTGTTGATCCAGGAACATGTTGTACTTGGTCAAATCACGCTCACCATAGGCTATGATCAATTCACTGTCTGCCGCTGGCCGTTACTTAAAAAAAAAATGACATTTAACAAACAAAAAATGCTCCAAACGTTTTTCTAAATGTACTTTATAAAAAAACTAAACGAAATATAATCATTTTTTCATTACATACAAAGCTGAATGTGTGCACTGAAAGCTTAAAAAAATCCTTGTGTGTGGTGTTTGCAAAACATACATTAAAATAAATAGGCCTATACAATGAACCATAAATGTTGTGTACAAATCAGAATCCTTATGCACACATGAACATTTTAGTGGATACTGATTTTTGATGATCATCTGCAAACGATTCTTATTTCTAAGAGAGAGTGAAGAGTACCAGCATAAAAAAGAAAAACTCAAGATACTCAATAAAAGTAGTATAACAAGTTCTCAGTATGTTTTTTTGTACACAGAAAGAGTTCAATTTCCTAAGAGTGTACATTCTTTGATTCACTTTCTTAATAATGGCCTCTGTGTTCTGCTGGAACGTTAAAGTAGTATCAAAGATAGTTTCAAGATACTTGTACTCCTGTACCCTTTCAACTTCTTTTCCATAAAAATACACAGGTTTCACCTTTGAAACCTGGGCGTTTCATGTTCACTCTATCGTACATGTATCTGTTCAATCTCTAAATTTGATATTGCTGATTCCTCTGTCTATAATTGTGCTTCACTAAACAGCTCCGATCAAAGCTGAATCAACAGACGGTAGGCTATCGCAGAGTTAAGCAACACACAGTAGTAATGTTTCGCAACTGAATGAATGAATCACTTGGCTGAATGATTTAATAACGCACTCACAGAGACTGTCATCTGACGCTATAAAAAGATATTGGCTATAGGCTAAATAGAGGTTTGATCATCTCTAGCCAACCTCTGCCAACCCCAACATTTCTATAAGGAACACATTAAGGCACTTTAACGTTAAGTGTTTTTCACATTAAACGTTTTAGAATGTGCCGCTGTTTTAGGGATTGGAATATCGTGGCGGGTGCTTTAGGTATGGATTACAAATGGCCAAAACTTGCATTTTGTTCACGTCTTTTTTCTTTTCTTTCTTTTGAGAGGTGAAAACAGAAGGAAAATTGACAGGCTTGTGCCGTAGTTGTATGGACGTTTTGCTCTCTGGGTCTTCGAGACAGGCATGTGACTGAAATAGTGATGAGACATTCGCGAACGAGTCGGCTCCTTTAAGTGAGCGATATGAGTCGGATCCCATCTGAGGGCCGTTTTCTAAGACGGCTCTCAGCGTTGTTGTTTTTTTTTTACTTTCTTAATACAAGAAAAAACTAATGGGATGATTTTTGTCACACTGCTTGTTATCCACATGCACTTCATGTACTGACTTGTGTCAGGGACTTTGCTTATGTTGCTTTGATGTGTACATGATGACGATTGGTCGCGATTGGTCGCACGCACATACACATCAACAGATTCAACACACGTGCACAATGACAATGTTTCAGGGTTAATAGATAAAATGATACAACTGTGTTGGATGCTTCTGTTTTGCACACTGTAATTCAGTTTTTATCTGTTATATGGCATATGATGACGAGTGGTCGCACACACACACACACACACACACACACACACACACACACACACACACACATCAACAGATTCAACATCAACACACGTGCACAATGTCACAGGGTTACCGATTCAACTGTGTTCGATGCTTGTGCTTTGCACACTGTAATTTTGTTTTTATTTGTTATATGGCGCACCATGTTACATTTTGAGTATGATTTATGATAGTTTGTGTTTGGGATAGTTCACTACCCTGAGAGCACACCCTGATACATCACATCTATTTAATGTCTGCATTTACATCTGCAAGATGTATTTTTTAGAGTGTTTGCTCATCTACAATATGTTTACATTTAGTCATTTAGCAGACACTTTTATCCAAAGCGACTTACAAATGAGGACAATAAAAGCAGT